AGAGAGAGAGAGAGAGAGAGAGAGAGAGAGAGAGAGAGAGAGAGAGAGAGAGAGAGACATCTCCCATGAGATTCAGTGGTAAAATTTCCTTAAATACATTTCGGCCTTCATTTTCCTTTTGGAAACCTTGCTGTGGGGGTTGTGTGCCCCCTTCAGAGAACTGCGCAACCTTCGCAAGAGACCATTTATCACTAGTTTCCACCTTGGAGCAGGTCTTCCTACCTTTCCAGTCTTAATTCTGTGAGAAATGGCTGCAAATCGATGGTTGAGCTCTGAGATTTTGGGCTCTACTACTTTCCTGCAGTGCTCGCCGCGGTTTGCCATCAAGTTTGCTGCTTGGTCACGCGTGGAGTCCACCTTTGGGCGCATGTCATTCATTTCAGCCTTTAGACGCTACATTCCGTGAGCAAGAGACAGGGCTCGAAGTTAGTAATTAAATGGAAGTTGCAAGAGAGCGAGAGAGCAAGAGAGAGAGAGAGCACATGCGGAGGAATATAGAGGGAGGGGAAATGCCAACTTCCATAAAATGGTGGAGTAAGAATATGTGTGACCTCAGGAGACCAGTTGGCTGTCCTTCCTTAAGTTGCTTCTGTGTTTATTTAAAGTATCTACTTAGTCTGAGGAAGGACACGGGATGGTTTCCTGACTTCTCTGTGTCACATGCAACAGTCATAATATTTTATACTTAGTCTTATTTTACATTATTTTGACTAAATTTCATAGCTGTGGAGTGACCTTAATATATGCACAAGAAGGAAGGTAGCTGAAGAACAATTTTCTATTCCTTCCTGGTCGTTTTGCATTTCCTTTTGTTCATCATGTTGAATGCCATGGGTGGGGGGTGGAGGCATGGATTTTCTAACACATTCTGTGCCACAGACAGAGGGATTGTAGAAGGTTCTGCCTGACACCACGGGTTGGAGAGACTGCAAGTAAAATAGCTCAGTCCCTATTATTCCAAGGACCTTGAAGTAATAGCACCATTATATAACATTCCTTAACTACACATCAAGGGCAAAGGGTGAGCAACGTAAGGTAGAGACAATAGGGTAAATATGTTTTGGGGGCATAGCCTGAAATACATTTATAGATTTTCCTTAAAACTTGTAATCCTTGGAAAATATCAACTGCATAAAAAGAAACAAATGAATTGTATAGACAAAAACTATAAATGTTCATTGTTCTTTAAATAGAAACCCTCTAGTCAAACAAAATTATTGAAAATTTCAGCACAACACAATAAGGAATCATTAATTTAAATGAGATTTGGTAAAATTCAACTCTTCCTATTTAATTGATAAAGATGGCATCAAATAGAGATAATACAGCATCAGTAAGATATACTATTTGCACATTATACCACTCATACCCTTTATAGGAGTCATTTTTTAAAAGTAAGGATTAAGTTGCCTTTCCGTTGAAAAAGATGCCTTAGGATGCCCTAATAATTGGTTTCAGACACAAAAAAAGAACAAAAAGCCTAGTTTACATTATATACAGTTAAAATTTAAAAAATCAGCTTTATATAAGCTCAGGATTGTTACTGATTACTAAGATTTGGGCACTGCGTAGGCAAAATATCCAGAAGACTGGATTTCACATTATGTAATCAGATAGACTGTGAATGATGCCAGGAGAATGATCTTTGTGTTAGATATAAGAACGTACTGCTATTATTAAAAAGAGTAGGAATTTGCAAGATGACACCAAAATAAATCCTGAAATCCCTTGCTCATCAGAGTTTAAGTTGGTTGCATGTATTGGATTGTCTGAAAAGTCATGACGAATTTTTGCAATGAAAAACATAGAAAAAATACCTCATGACTTTTCTTACAACCCAATAATTAGCTGAAAGGTGGACATGGACAGACATCCAGATGACAGAACTCATCAAAGTCATTAACTCCCATTTGAATTAAAAAAGCAGAGGAAAGGAGGGAAGGAGGGAGGGAGAGAGGAAGGAAGGAAGGAAGGAAGGAATGGAGGGAAAAAGAAAGAGAGGCAGAATTTTTCAGTCTTATTAAGAAGTCCTTGGTATTTTTTACGACAAACATGATTGACATAACTGTTGCGCAGTTTGAATATTACTTTTCGTAATATTTTATTTGCTACCTTAAGCATGTCTTCTTTTTGCTGGGGTTTCTTTTTCTCAGATTCATCCAAAAGTGCATCAGCATGAATGATCCAGTTTGTGATGTGATCCACATTCTGGTCAAAGGTTTCCATGTGTTTCTGGTATTCCTTAATTTTACAGAGACATACCGTGACGTATTACTGGTTAGATAATAGCCTTTAAAAATGTGTTCTACTTTCTACAGTTTTAAAAGACAAAAACTCAGTATCATTCAAATTACTTTTAGGGGTGATCTCCATATGAGATAAAGCACAAACATGGAAAATATACTCAAATATAGAGAGTAAATTAAGATTCAGCATTTATGTAGAGTCGAGGAATTTACAAACACAAAAAATTATTATTATTGAATGCTTATGCATTTTCTTTCACATGATGGAGAGGAGTTGAAAATCTTCCAGCCTCTTCTCTTACCAACAAAAGGTTTAACCACTCTTCTGCTCGGGAAGTGACAGCTATCCAGTTACTATTCAGAAGACTCAGTTTATCTTCCACCAAGATTTCCTTCTTGCCCAAAACCATCTTCAAGGCCTCTCCTAGCTCCGTGACACTCTTTAGGTGAACCTTCTGTTTTTCAATCTCCTTCTGAGTAGCCTGTGAATACAGGACAGCATTTGAGGTTCAAGTGATATATGGTATTCTTAAGATTTAATGCTTTTGAAATGTGTGTCATTACTGTCGTAAGATGAAACCTTCAACTATGTCTCTATGAATGATGAAAATCACACCACATACATTTGTAGTTTCCTTATGGGGTATATATAAATATACATGTATATATAAACATAACTGATTTCATATTTGTTTATGATTGTACATATTTAATAGATAAACATACATATTGTCCATCCAAACATATTTATATTTAGTTAATTTGTAAACGCATTGACTAAAGTCAGACTTTGGAAAACTCATCCATAAAATAAGCAACTGCTTTCAGAAAATTCAGCAATGATGATACTCCTTATTTCTACAGCAGAAATTTTTAGCTTTTTGGTGCCACAAATCTATTTGGCATCTGGTCAAAATTAAGGACATTTTCTCATAATAAAGTTTTTAAAAGTATAAAATTAAATCCACCATATTTTAAATGAAACCAGTTGTACTGAAATACAATATACAAAATATAGTTCTCAAATTTGTGAGATACTAATACATGTTATCTCTCCTAACACATGTAACTACAATGATCTAGCATCAGATCTTTAAGTAGGATTAAAGTAGTGAATGAGCATAACTGGTGTTTTGAAGTCTTACAATGACTAGAATGTGATATAAATATTTGTGTCATTTCAACTGTTGGTAAAGTCATAGGAACTGCTGATATTACTGGGGTTTGTAGCTCCCATTCATAATTGAAAAAAATGCTTCATTCCAGTTAGAGGGCAACAAAAGTAAAGAGGTCATATTAAAATCCACCTCAGAGAGCACTGCCACTTCCTCAGATTTGATTTATTAAACATAGAAACAAGCATATTTAATATTAGAAATTATGTAGAGAGTTGATGGAAAAAGTGACCCCAGTACAAATGTTTACTGTCAGCTCTACCTACAGTCTCTTCCTAATGACATGTCATGCTGACCACGTGACCATCTTGCACTCCCTTGCCTCTGCCCCCAATCCCAACTGCACCCTCATAGAGCTGTTGGACATTCATGGGGAGGTAAGCCAGAGCCAAACAAACCCTCTCTCAAGAAGTTGAACTGACAGATACGGAGACTCTGATAACCCACCCACTGAGAAGTCATTTGGAAGTGGTAACTGATGTGGTCACCACAGCAAGCCAAAGCCACAGTCAGACAAAATCACTGGGAGGAGCCATAAGAAGAAAGTAGTGGGAGCCCACTTGCAAAGAGGTCTAAATGAAATGTGCAGAGAGAGTAACAGAGGTGGTCCAAGACAAGGAGAGAGAGACGCTCTGAGGCCAGTATATACCTCATGTCCTACTCCTAGATGCTTCCAAGGTGTCTTTCCTATCTTTAAAATACAGTAATACCTTGGTTTGCGAGCATAATTCATTCCAGAAACAAACTACTCATATTGCAAGACATCACTCATTTACCACATTAAAATGTATTAGAAATATTTGCTCATCTTGTGGAACACTTGCAAGCCACGTTACTCGCAATCCAAGGTTTTACTGTATAACTAAATAGTTTTTGCAGCTGTCTTTTGCATCCACACCAGGTTCTGGTCCACTTGCAATCATGATATATATATTTTGTTTTGACCTTTGATATAAAATAAGCAGGGGGAATAAATGAGGTAAAAAGACTGTATAAAATAATTTCTATACAAGAGACAATCACTGTTTCTCCAATTCTAAGATTTTCTTTTTTTAAATCAAAATTTATTGGGGTGACAATTATTAGTAAAATTACATAGGTTTCAAGTGTACAATTCTGGTCTACATCATCTAGATATCATATTGTACATTGTGTGTTCACTACCCGGAGACAGTTCTCCTTCCATCACCATGGTAGAAGAGGGTAAGATATTCTTTTATATTTGTGTTTTTTCTTTTTCACTACAAAAAATCTGAATTTCAAGTAATTAATGCCAAATGAGCTTATCAGCTACCACACAGAGAGGTATTTGCAATGTACATGTCGTCTGTTGCACATGGTTGAGCTTAGCAACTCATGGAAAGAATTCCTTCATGTTTCAATCATAAGTGTTACTGATCTCCTACTAAGTGTGTCACTATTGTAGCAGGGACATGGGTGATTCCACTTAATGAAAAATATGAGCAGTCCATCCTTTGGATGAAAACAGCCCCTCTGGAGTTTGACTTATGAGTGCTCATGGGCTAAATTTCAGGCCTTTCACTCCCTTTATCTGCACCACCTTGCAGAGTACAACCTTCACAACCATACATGACAGCCATTGTTCTAAGCACTAAGGATAAAATGATAGAGAAACAAAGTCCCTATCCTTATAAAACATATCCGAGCATGACTTGCCAAAGATATGGAAATATATGCAAATAAGCATACCCAACTTCCTACATTTCAGACTAGTGGCTTGTCACTAGAGTTGATTTATTTGCAAAGGCAACACCACACAAAGTTGAATCTTAATTTATACTTGGATCACTAATTATCTCTTAAAATATCTTCATAAAGATGACACTATGTTTTAGCTTTGATATAAAAAGATGTTGTATACATAGACATATGCCTTTTCCATGCCAGGCAATGTAATTAAAGGCAATGGAAATTTCCAAATCCCAGAAGACATTGAAGCAGTTTTGAATTTAGGAAATACTGCAGCAAATAGTTCATGGGTCACAAATAACTACTGTGCACTAAATATCTGCCAAAATTCTCTAGCTAATTTTCAAGAGCAAATATTTAATGTCCAATGAGTCCTCATGCACTTAGTGAGTACAATAAAACAGGAAGTATGGGCTAATTTCTGGTATCATTTAAGGTTCCTCAATATTATAAGATGACACTCAAACAGGTCAAAGATATCACCACCATAAATATGAGCTAGAAACAAACAAACAAACAAACAACAACAACAAACAGTGGCCATCATGGTGGTTTATAACTACAACGGCCAAAAGTGATTCATGAGAAAATTTACACTTGGACTGTAAAAAGACCTAGATTTGAACCTTTACTTGTGGTATTCAAGAATAAACAAGTATTCAATCAGTTATATAAATGCTATTTTTGGTTAAGAAAGATATTGTGGTAATTCTATTCTTAATTTTTTGAGGAAACTTCACACTGCCTTCCATAGCAGCTGCACCAATCTGCATTCCCACCAACAATACATGAGGGTTCCTTTTAATCCATTGCCTCTCCAACACTTGTTATTATTTGTCTTATTAATAATAGCCATTCTAACCAGTATGAGGTGATATCTCATTGTGGATTTCATTTGCATTTGTCTGATGATTAGTGATGTTGAGCAATTAAGAATAGAATTACCATGTGACCCAGCAATCCCTCTCTTGGGTATATACCCCCAAAAATCTGAAAACATTTATCTGTAAAGATATATGTGCCTTGATGTTCACTGCAGCTTTATTTATGGTGGCCAAGATATGGAAACATCCAAAGTGTCCTTCAATAGATGATTGGATAAAGAAGATGTTATATATATATATATATATATATATATATATATACACACACAATGGAATACTATTCTGTCATAAGAAAAGATGAAATAGTGCAATTTGCATAAAAATGGATGGGTCTTGAGATTATCATGGTAAGTGAAATACGTCAGACAGAAAAAGTTGAGAACCATATGATTTCACTGATATGTGGGATATAAAACAGAAAATAACAAAGGAACAAGACAAACAAACAAACACTCAGACACAGACAACAGTTTAGTGGTTACCAGAGAGTAAGGGGGGAGGGGGTGTTAGAAGTGGGTAAAGGGGGTCAAACATATGGTGATGGAAGGAAAACTGACTCTGGGTGGTGAACACGCAATGTGATATCTAGATGATGTGTTACAGAATTGTACTCTTGAAACCTATGTAACTTTACTAACCATTGGCACCCCAATAAACTTTAATGAAAATAAAAGAAAGATATTCTGCTCATTTCATGGATTTTTAATATTTCCCCACAAAAGTATTTTAATTAAAGATGTGACTTGCAAATTTTAGCCCTGAAATAGTATGCTGTTCTTGCTGTCTGTAGAACTTAAATTCCAATTAGTCGTTGTTCATCAGGTGCTCGGTACCCACTCTGTACGGTGCCATTTACTGCCAGAGATAAGGAAGGGGACCGTCTTTGCATGCCCTGCTCTAAGCTTACCTACAGTGCAGCTGCAGAGAAAAGTTGAAATGCAATCAAATGTGATATATTAGAAATACATAATTTTTGGAAAAAGATGGCTGGGATAAACATGAACAGCTTCCAAAGAGAGGTGATACCTGAAACTGGAGTTTACCATAAAGAATTGGATGGTTTGGATTGAGGAAAGACAAAGCACAAAATGATTAGAGTATGAAGGCTGGAATCAAAAGCCACAGAAAGGGGAATACGGGCTACTTATTGGAAACTAAAAACTGACATTTTATGATGTCAAGGAGCCATTTCCCCTCGTTCAAGTATTTTGCGAGAACAGAACGCCTACACATGCATATGTATTGAGAACTGAATTACTGGATTGAACTACCCAGAACCACCGCTGTGGCCATGCTCTCTGTGCCCTTACTCATTCCTCACTAAGGGAGGTAGCGTGATTTCTGGGGCTGGTGAGATGGGGAGAAAGAATTGAAAATACACTTCCTCCTCTTAAAAGGCATTCAATCCTCAGCACACATGCCTTCTTCTGCAGCCTTGTGGGGTGAGGGGTGGAGAGGGCACTGGAAGGTCTACCGTTCTAAATGGGCAAGTTCCAATTCAACGATTGCATTGAGTAAGTTGTAACTCAGCTCCTTTATCTTTGTCAAACACGCAGTAATGTGACAGCCTCTAGCGTTGATTTTAAGGCTGAATAAGAAGCAAAATTATGCACACTCAGTTTTATTTTGACCTATGACATGGTCATAAATCCAATTTCAGGAGTTTCAACAACACCACTATATATAATATGTACTATATACTTGACACAGGGT